GTTACATAAATAAGAATGAAGCTTAAGAAGAAAATGATTATGATGTCTAATGTTAGGCAACCATTTATTTATACTGTTTTATAATATACATTATAAATATTTTTAGTGCTCTAATCATTCCCATGTAACCATGTGTATGTCATAAATATATACATGTATTTTTTAAAACTATGAAAGAATAATGTGTTGGATGAGTGAGAATAGCCCCCACAAACTCATATGTTTGGATGTTAGTTCCCAGTTAGCAAACGTGCTGATTGGGGAGTACTTAGTATGAAGTATTCAGTTAAGGAGTGAATTTCTAAGGAATTACTGCGATTAATTTTATTTCATTTTATTTTGCCAATTTAAAGACTTTATTCCAGTCCATTGGGATGAGTGTTGGGACCATACTCAGGTATTCCAGACCTACGTGTAGCACGGGGCGTCCAGAGAATAGGGTTTTTGAAGGCAGAAGTCATGTCCTGGCATCTCTCTCAGTTAGCCAGAGAGGTCTCTGCATATGCAGGCAATGTAACAGAAGCTAAGGGAAGTTAACTGGGGCATTTTGACCTTGGGTTCCTTGAATGGAGTCGGGTACTTTTCTTCAGCTTCTCTTAAGATGGCTGAGCAAGGCACAGATCTATGAATGTAGCAGAACGTCATTAGGAGTCCTTTTATTGCTACAATTTTTTAAGAACAGTAGTATTTGGTTTTACCCTAGGTTCCTGAGCTATCTAATCTTTGGTTTTTGATTGCCCAAGTAGTGTAGGGTATTGGTTCCATTTTGTGGAATGGGCGTTAATCAGATATTGGCTGATTACTCCCACAAGATATGTGCCGCCATTGCTGTAGCCTATCTGGCAGGCAGGACATCACTGTAGGGTTTGTGCCTAGCTTAATGTTTATGTTCATCTTTTGGTAGATACAGAGTACTTTCTTGTACCAAAGATGCTAGAACATAGAACTGAAGGCTCTGTGTAGGCACTAGCTTAACCCCTCTGTGCTCAATGAGTTAAGTAGTTGTTTTCTTAAGCAATGAGGTCTTACTGTCAGTTTGTGAAGAACAACCTATAGTCTTGGCAATGGCCTGGGTTTTGGGGGGGTTCCATGGTACCCCTTTAGCCAAAAACTCAATTAGATGTAATTCAGTTCCAGTACTGGCAGCTTCATTTGTTGACAAGAGATGGCCAGTTGGGATCCCATCTCTCCCGTTATTTGATGATTTCATTTAGATTGCCTTCAGATATGCATACATTTTAGGAGGTTTCTACTGTATAAAGTTTCCATACTACCCATCAAGTTGGCCCTAATTTTACCTGTCTTGCCCTCTTCCCTCCCTGCCCCCACTTGATCCTCCTGTGCCAGAAATCCACAAACCATCCTTAACGATCTATTTCTTTTTCTTAATGAGATTTTTCTCTGTACCCTCTAGTCCCTCTGGATATTATGACTAGAGTAGCAGTGAACATGCTTGAGCAAGTGTCTCTGTGATAGGATGAAGCATCCTTTAGCTGGATCTTGAGGTAGACTGAAGCCCGTCTTCCCGAGGAACCACCACATTGATTCATTCCCACAGTAGCTGTATAAGTTTGTACTCCCATCAGCAACAGATTACTGCTTCCCTTACTTCACATCCTCTCCAGCATGATCATGGTCATTCGTTTTATTGATGTTAACCATTCTGGCACTTGTGAGATGAACTCAAAGTAGTTTTGACATTGATGTTCAAAGGTGTTGAACATTTCTTGAAGTGTTTCTCAGCCATTTTAGTTTCCTCTATTGAGAATTGTTAAGGAATATTAGTTTAACTTTGTAAAGATGTGTTACTTTTGCTTATTCTACGTTTGTTTAATGGTGTAAACATTGTTGCTTTCCCTCCTTAAAGAGCCTGATTGGTCTAATAAAAAAAAAGCTGAATGGTCAATAGCTAGTCAGAAGAGGGATAGGTGGGGCTGGTGGGCAGAGAGAATAAATAGGAGGAGGAATCTAGGTTCAAGAGAACAAGAGAGAGAATGAGGGAGAAACAGATGTCCAGGGTTAGTCAAACAGGCAGCTGCCAGGCAGCTAGGCACAGAGTAGGAAATACAGAATGAAAGAAAAGTAAAAAGTTTCATGGCAAAATGTAGATGAAGAGAAACAGGTTAAATTAAGTTCTGGAAGCTAGTGGGCCAAGCGGAAGATAAGGCCAACCATTCATAACTAATAATAAGTCACCGTGTCGTGGTTCGGGAGATGGTTGGTAGTCCAAAATAAAACCTGAAACAGAGAATTCTCTATTTAGATCATTATCCCATTTTAACTGGGCTATTTGTTTTCTTGATATCTAGTTTTTTTAGTACTTTATATATTTTGGATATTAGCACTCTGTTGGATGTGTAGTTGGTAAATCTTTTCCCATTCTGTAGAGGGCCACTTTGTTTGAATGACAGTGTTCCTTGTGCAGAAGCTTCTCAGTTTCACAAGACCCCATTTATTAATTGTTGATCTTTGTACCTCCATTAATGGTGTTCTGTTCATAAAGTTCTTTTCTGTGCCAGTGTGCTCAAGGCTATCCCCCACTTTCCCTTTGTGTCAGGTTCAGTGTATCTGGATTCATGTTGAGGTCTTTGATCCATTTGGAGTTGAGTCTTGTGCAGGATATAGTTGGATTTTTTGCATGCAGTCATCCAGTTTGACCTGCACCATTTGTTGAAGTTGCTGCCTTTTTTCCCAGTGTGTGTTTCTGACTTCTTCATCAAAAATCATATTATGGATTTATATTTGGAACTATTTGGATCTTCAATTCAGTTTCCTTCATCAATGTGTCTTTTTTTTGTGTCATGCTTTTTTTTATTACTGTAGCTCTATAGTACAACTTGAAATTGGGAGTGGTGATATCTCCCATAGTTCTTTTTTTATACAGGATTCTTTCAGCTATTCTGGGTTTGTGTGTGTATGTGAGTGAGTGTGTGTGTGTGTGTGTGTTTCCATGTGACACTGAAAAATCTCCTTTAAAGATCTGTGAAGGGGCTGGAGAGATGGCTCAGCAGTAAAGAGCAATGGTTCTTCCCAGAAGACCTGGGTTCAATTCCCAGCACCCACATGGCACTCACAACTATCTGTAGCTCCCGTTCCAGGGGATTTGATACCTTAACACCAATGCATATAAAATAAAGTTAAATGAATTATTTAATAAAAAAGATCTGTGAAGAATTGTGTTGGAATTTTGATGGAATTGCATTGAATCTGTATATTGCTTTTGGTAGGATGACATTTTTACTATGTTAATTCTAATAATCTATGAGCATGGCAGACCTTTCTATCTTCTGATATCTTCTTCAATTTCTTCCTTTAGTGACTTGAAGTTTTCATCATCCAAGTCTTCTACTTGATTGGTTAGAGTTACCCCAAGATATTTTATATTATTTGGGGCTATTTGTGAAAGGTGGTGTTTCCCTGATTTCTTCCTCAGTCCTTTTGTCATTTGTATATAGGAGGGCTACTGATTTGGAGGGGATTAATTTTGTATCTAACCACTTGAAATGTTTACCACGTCTCTTGTCCCCCCATTCTCACTCCCTCCCTTAGGGTCCCTGTTGACTGACTCTGCAGGCTGGGACACTTACTATACCACATTTTTTTATCCATTCTTCAGATGGGGGGAATCTAGGCTGTTTCCAAGATCTGGCTATTACAAATAATGTTGCTATGAACATAGCTGAGAAAATGTCCTTGTGGTGTGAATGTGCCTCCTTTGGGTATATGTCCAACAGTGGTATTGCAGGCTCTTGAGACAGGTTGTTTCCTAATTTTTTGAGAAATCGCCATACTGATTTCCACAGGGACTGTACAAGTTTGCACTTCCACCAGCAATGGAGGAGTGTTCCCCTTTCTTCACATTCTCTCCAGAATAAGCTGTCATTGGCGTTTTTGATCTTAGCCATCCTGATTACTATAAGATGGGATCTCAGAGTGGTTTTGATTTGCATTTCCCTGATGACTAAGGATGTTGAGCATTTCCTTAAGTGTCTTTCTGCCATTTGAGATTGTTCTATTGAGAATTCTCTGTTTAGATCTGTATCCCATTTTTTAATTGGATTATTTGGTAGTTTGATTTCTAGTTTCTTGAGTTCTTTGTATGTTTTTGAAATTAGCCATCTGTCAGATTTGGGATTAGTGAAGAACTTTTCACATTCTGTAGGGAGCCATTTTGTTTTGCTGACTGTGTTCTTTGCTTTACAGAAGTTCCTCAGCTTCTCAGAGTCTGTGATACTGGTGTTCTATTTGGGAAGTGATCTCCTGTGCCTGTGTATTCAAGTCTATTTTCCACTTTCTCTTCTGTGAGGCTCAGTGTGGATAGATTTATATTGAGGTCTTTCATCCATTTGGACTTGAGTTTTGTGTATGGTGATAGCTGTGGATCTATTTGCATTCTTCTACATGTTGACAGCCAATTATACCAGCACCATTTGTTGAATATATTTTCTTTTTTCCATTTTATATTTTTAGCTTGTTTGTCAAAAATTAGGTGTTCATATGTGTGTGGGGGTTGATATCAAGGTCTTTGATTGGATTCCATTGGTCCACCTGTTTGTTTTTATGCCAATACCAAGCTGTTTTCATTACTATAGCTCTATAGTAGAGCTTGAAGTCGGGATGGTGATGCCCCCAGATGATCCCTTATTGTGCAGGATGGTTTTAGCTATCCTGAGTTTTTTGGTTTTCCATATGAAGTTGAGTATTGTTTTTTCTATCATTTTGAACTGGGCTTGCCAAATTACAATGCAGAAGTCAAATCTGGTTATTTGTTTTTGCTTCAGACATCTCTATGCTGAATTTCATGCTAGCCTCATTTTCCCTCTGCTGCATAATATAATATATAAATTGTATATATGATTTACATACGGACCTTGTAAGTTCCAAGATAGGTCTTGTCCCTTGCAGTCATTCTCTGTTCTTTATCCTCATTCCCAGCACCCATGTTGGGTGACTCTCAGTTGCTTGTAACTCCAGCTCCAGATCTGGTGTCCTCTTCTGACCTCCCTGGATACCTGCATTCACACACATTATATTTGAAAAGAAACTTGTAACTGGGCAGTAGTGGCACATACTTTTAATCCCGGCACTCAGGAGGTAGATGCAAGTGGATCTCTGTGAGTTAGAGGCTAGCCTGTTCTTCAGAGTGAATTCCAGGACATCCAGGGCTACACAGAGAAACTCTGTCTTGAAAAAAAACAAAAAAAATTAAAAACCAAAGACAAGTACACAGTCACAGAGCTGCAAATGTTGCAGTGCTTTGTTGATTATATTCATGATTAAAGGATATGGTAATTACATTTAGAGCTAGTGAAAATATGCATAATTTCATCCCAGTTCTACTTTACAACCTACGTGATTTCTGTCTGTTTGACATAGAAATTCTCATTTGTTTATTTTTATTATTGTTTTTTGATATAGGGTATCACAATGTAGCTCTAGCAAGCCTGGAATTCTTTTTTTTTGTTTTTTTTTTTGGTTTTTTTTTTGTTTTTGGAGACAGGGTTTCTCTGTGGCTTTGGAGGCTGGAATTCTATATATAGACCAGACTGGCCAAATGTTGGGATTAAAGGTGTGAGCAACCATGCCAGCCAGAAGTTTTCTTTGAAATCCTAGTTAGCTTTGTTGGTTCTTTGTATGTGCTTTTGCATTTATAAGTATCCCAGTGTGAGATAATTTCAAGTAATCCTGAGTCAGTGTTTGTCATGCTATAACACATAGAATCTCCTGAATAGCTTCCTAAAATACAGGTTCTGATTCAGTAGATTTCAGGTGAGTTCTGCTGTTCAGTGTATCTCAAAAGTTTCCAAATGGGCTGGCAAAACCAGCAGAGACAGCTGATCCGAACAGGGGAGAGCTCTTAGACCCCAGACCGACAGCTGGGAGGCCAGCATGGGACCGATACAGACCCCCTGAATGTGAGAGTCAATGAGGAGGCCTGGGCTACCTATGGGGTCCTGAGCAGTGGATCAGTGTTTATCCCTCGAATACTAACAGACATCGTGTGTCCATAACACAAAGAGGGATGCTCTCTCAGCCTGGACTCTTAGGGAAGTGCCTGGACCCTACCCTGAATGAAATGATAGACTCTAGATATCCCCTATGTGGAAGGAATTGGCAATAGGGTGGGAGGATAGGGGGATGGTGGGGGGTGCGGGAGGAGGGGAGGGAGGGGAGGGAACTGGGATTGACATGTAAAACAAGCTAATTAAAATTAAAAAATGTTTAAAAAAAGTTTCCAAATAGGGCCAAAGTTGTTCCTTGAAGGCATTCACATTGAATACCAAGGTGCTGTATTATATTTAAACCTCTTTGCTAGCATAACAAAGATCAGCAAACCATAGCCTTATAAATTGGGCAATTTTTGTATTTTATTTTTACCTGTGTTTGAGTTATAGTATATGTTGTCTGGGCTGGCATGCAACTTACTGAGTATCCCAGGTTGGTCATAAACTCACAAAGATCCATTTGCCTTTTCCTTCTGAGTGCTGGGGTTAAAAAGTTATAAACCACCACATCCAGCCCAAAACCACATTTTCAAGACAGGGTTTCTCTGTGTAGCTGTCCTGGAACTCACTATGTAGACCAGTTTGGCCTTGAACTCACAGAGATCCACCTGCCTCTGCCTCCTGTGTGCTGGGATTAAAGGCATGCACCACCACATTCTTATAGTTTTGTATTTCCTAGGTTTTCCTTCTATAATGGGAAAGCTGAATAATTACAATAGCAACCATATGGCTCATAAAACATAGAACACTTTGCTAGCTCCTGTTCCTTAATGTCATCTCATCCTCTTTCAAATTATTTCTCTCCCTGAACCCTGTGACCCAATTCATCCATTTGTGCCAGTGTCCTGAGTCTTCTCTGCTCACAGAACACTCTTCTGAATTCTGCTTTTGGCTATGGTACATCACCTTTTTTTTTTTTTTTTTTTTTTTTTTTTTTTTGGTTTTTGTGAGACAGGGTTTCCCTGTATTGTTTTGTGTGGTACATCACCTTTATCCATGTCCTATATACCCTTTACGACTTGAAGTCATTTCTTAAATAGTCTCATTCCAGGTTACGTAAGTATAAAGACTCATAAGGGATCATTACACTTTCTTCAGAAGACAGACAGCAGGTTAATATCCAGATGAAAGGACAGCAGGACATGCTTTTCAGACAAGGTGCATTCATCAGGAAGACATTATCATCCAAGAGGAAAAAAATCCATGAATGTAGTAAGTTTGGGACAGTATCACTTCTGAGTACTGATTTTTTTCCTTCAATTCAAAATCTCCATCAGAGACCCAAGAAGGATAAAATATTACTTGAATAAACAGGAAGTTCAGAGCAAACAACTTCTCAAACCATAGAAATGACAGAAACAGCTGGCTACCTGAACAGTCACCCAAGTTTCCTCTGCAATGTTGGGGCATCCATCTTCAGCCTACATGCCTAGAATATTTGACAGACTTTTCTGTAAAGCAAGAATTTTGAAGGGCTGCCTACCCTGTCTATGCAAAATTTGACAGTCGCTTTCTTTTGTGTCCTGCTTGTCTGGTTTGGACAGCACATTTTAGTAGTTGAGGCAAGGGTAGTTTCATGCCCAAATGGCTAGCTTTGCCACAGTGAAAGCAAACTCTGTAAGGAGGTTCTTCAGTGCAATCTTTCCTGGAGACCTCTAAGGTTGGGAAAAGATGAAGCCACAAGGAAGATATACTTTGGGAAATGTAGTTCAATGCCTAGATCAATGGAATCTCACAATTAAATGTATTTTAGTAATGTTATATTCCAATCATTCCCCTACTGGACTCACGATTCAGGGACAGGATAGTATTTTACAATGGATTTTTCTAGCTCAGAAACAGAGTAAAAAAATCCCACCTATATAGAAAAGGTTTCTTCTGAACTAATTTTAAAGACTTCGTCAATTGTCGGGTAAGGATCCAGCTGAAGCTGTGGTACCCTATACTATACCAATGCTGAAATTAGACAAATGTGGGAGACTCATGATGATTGGCAAGGAGCTTGTAGTAATTTCTCAGGAGAAATAACAAATATCTAAAAAGTAAGCGGATTTGGTTTACAAAAAGAACCGAATAGAGTCTTCCCCGCATAGTAAAAAAAGGCCCCTACGTCTGGGGTTCTTACATTTTATACTAATACAAATAATTTATGAATGTCTGGTTATAAAGCAGGAAACATCAGTAAGGCTGGTCAAAGTCCTTATGACCCAGTTCAGAAATCAGAATTATATGCTATTCTGATGCTTTTGTTAGACTTTAATGAATCTCTTAATTACTGATTCTCAATGTGCAGAAAGGGTTGTATTGCATATAAAAACTGTGGACTTATTCCTGATAATTCAGAATTGACTTTCCTATTAGTGCAACTACAAGAGGGAATCCAAGAAAGAAATTGCCCACTTTATATTACCCATATTCGGTCTCATAGTGGGTTTCCTGGGCCATTAGCAAAAGGAAATGAAGAAATTTATCTTTCATTGGTAGGAAATGTGTTAGAAGCTTCAGAATTTCATAAGAAACATTATATTAATAGTAGGGGCTTAAAGAAAAAAATTTTCCATTACTTGGCAACAAGCTAATGAAATTATAAAAAACTGTCCTGCTTGTTCACTGTATAATCAAGTTCCTTTACCTACAAGACCAATCATAAAGGTACACAAATAAATGAAATTTGACAAATGGATGTATTTCATTTAGCAGAATTTGGAAAATTAATATGTGTCCATCATACCATTGACACTTATTCTGGATTTCAATGGGCATCTGCCTTAAGTTCTAAAAAGGCTGATTCTATAATTACACATTTATTAGTCACAATGGCTGTAATGGTCATACCAGCACAAATTAAAACTGATAATACCCCAGCTATGTTTCCAATAAAATGCAACAATTTTTTGTGCATTACAACATAAAACACATTACAGGGATACCGTAAAATCCCCCAGGACAAGCAATTGTTTACAGATCCAATCACACTCTAAAAGAGATGCTTGCTAAACAGAAGGGGATATGCGGACCCCAGGGATAGACTGCACAATGCTTTACTAACCTTAATTTTTTAAATGCTAATGAAACCGAACAACAGCTGCTGAAAGACATTGGGTTATAGAAAGAGCTGCTGAACTGAGTCAGCCCGAGCATTATAAATGCCTTGACATCTTTATGGAGTCCAGGAAAAGTGTTAAATGCGGTTGAGGGTATGCTTATATTTCCACAGGAGATAAGAGATTGTGGATCCCATCAAAATTGATAAAAATCCGGCACAGACAAGAGGAATCTCTAGAATGCTTCAGCTGCTGAGATGTCTCTGGAGAAAAAAAGTGCAGGGGGCCATTGAAGCAGACAGCTAGTCCTCCCACCCAGGGACATCTTAAGAATTTGTGTGACGGACAGACGGTCGTTGGTGGCTCACGCCTTTAATCCCAGCACTCGGGAGGCAGAGGCAGGCGGATCTCTGTGAGTTCGAGGCCAGCCTGGTCTACAGAGTGAGTTCCAGGACAGCCTCTAAAACAATACAGAGAAACCCTGTCTCCAAAAACCAAAAAAAAAAAAAAAATTTGTGTGCCAACAGGAAGGTTGTCAGATGACTCAGAAACCTTTAACTGCTACAAATGTGTCCCTTGCTATGCTGTCTGTTGTAACTGTATAGGCAAAAGGGACTGATTATAGTAACTGAGCTTATATTCTCAATCCTCCAATTAACCTAGCAGTAAATTGGGGAGATATGGATATTCCTGTAGTGGTTAATGAATCTTCTTGGCTACCTGGTCATTATGGCAACCGAGGTCCTGCTTAGCCAATGGAGGACACCGTTGAGAGTACAGGAATTACTATTTGTATGGGAAATGGAATTCATTGTCCAAATATAACCTTTCAAGTGTGGCTATTGATAATCAATACTACCCAAGATCATCATGCATCTGGTTTTGGAGGACAGGAGATTAATGCTGCTATTCCATAAATCTACCATTCTGTGAGATGAGGGTTACCAACAAGGAATCTGACTGGGTAACACTGTAAGAATGAGAAACCTCAAGGGTTAATTAATATCTCCCACAGAGACGTCTGTGTTTGGGGCCCATATGGTTCCACTCAAGGAAAATATTCTTACTCAAAGTTAAGATGGCAGTGGTATAGTTTGAATGTAACTGGACAAACTAGCTCCTCTATTAAAGAACCTATCCAGTGGCATGGGGTTGAAATGTCAAGTCCTCCCTTGCAATTTGGCAACTCAATTCAGACTAACTTGTGGAAATTAGCAAGTGCCTTCCACCCTCTTAAACATGGGAAGTTAAATGTTAAGGATGATCAGTATACTTTGTCTTATAGACTAAATCAAAGCTGTCCAACAGCACCCTAAAAATTACAGCATCGCTTGTGAATGCTGCACCCATCATACCTGCGTTAATTCTAGTAAATCTTTAAACTTAGTATGTCTTTAAACTTAGAGTATGTCTTTAAAATTAGCTTCTGAAAGTGTATCCATTCTTAGAGCAAGGACGGCAATCTGGACACAGCGAAGCTGTCAAGGCCATGGCAAGACTCACCTGTGATCATCCTGGTACAGTCACTGAAAGAATATTCAGAACATGCTGGGTGGTTGGACTGATTATTGGTGTTATTATGGGAATTATTGCATTGACGGTTACTGCTATGACAGATGGAGTGGCCCTTCCAAAAGAAATTCAAAGTGCTGAGTTTGTTAGAGACTGGCATAAATAGTCTACAGAATTTTGAACTGAACAAAATAAAATAGATAATGAGATAGTTAATGAATTAGCTGATTTGAGACAAGCTGCTATATTGGTAGGGGATCTGTTAGAAATATTGGAGCAAGCCGGGGATTGGTGGTGCACGCCTTTAATCCCAGCACTCGGGAGGCAGAGGCAGGCGGATCTCTGTGAATTGGAGACCAGCCTGGTCTACAGAGAGTTTCAGGACAGGCTTCAAAGCAATACAGAGAAACCCTGTCTCGGGGGGGGGGGGGGGAGAAAGAAATATTGGAGCAAATAAAATTAAAATGTGATTGGGCTGTTACAACCTATTGTATGACACCTTTAAAGTTTAATATAAGCATGTATGATTGGGAAAAGGTTAAGAAGCATTTGATGGGTCACCCTAATTCGTCTCAAATGATTTATGATTTACAGCAAGAAATTATGGAAACTTTTACAAAAAAAAAGTTACCTGATATGACAGGAACAAATGTTATGGCAAGTCTTGCAGATAGCATAGCCTCATTCAACCCTGTGACTCACTTTAATAGATTTCTTGTTTTAGCAAGTGTTACTCACGCTAGCAATAGTAACCTTATTGGCTCTAAAATGTGTTTTGGCTCACTTACATAAGATTGTAAAACAGAAATCTAGAGAAAAGACTGTAAAGCTAATAATCTCCGATATAATTAATTGTTGCACATAAAAAGGGGAATATAGATTTCTGCAGCTGGTTTGACTCGAGTGGTAACACCTAGCTTTGATCTGCCTTTTGCAATTGGTACCTTGTCTGTGGTATCTTCTGTTTGAAGTCTAAATTTCCTAGGTGTTCAAAGCCTATGCAAAACTTGGTTGGGAGAGTACCCTGAAACCTGGGATGTCTTTTAATGAAGAATTTGCATTCGGCATTGTCCCATTGAGAAGCTTAGGTAAGATGTTTTGGTTACAGAAATTGACTTGCTAAAGGTGTGAACTGTGTAACAATAAAAAATCCCTTTGCTAAGCTACAATGGCTCAGTCCACAGAGGTTGATGCCCCACCCCTGCAGCTGGAAAAGACTAGAATCATCCTTAAAGTGCCTGTGCCTTCTTTCCACAGACCCTCATGAACCCACACCCCGTCTACACCATCAATGTGAGTTTTCCTTTATTTTCGTTGTGTTTATGATGTATGTATCTGTGTTCAAGTGAGCATGTAGGCCAGACGACAACTTCCAGGGCTGATCCGTGTCTTTTGTTTTTTTCTTCAGACATGCACAGACACACAAACATTCACATTAATAATCTAAAAATAATAATAAATCTGGGAGCTAGCGAAAATGGCTCAATGATTAAGAGCATTGGCTCCTCCTCTAGAGGACCCAGGTTTAATTCCCAGCATCCATATGGCAGCTCACAACTGTCTGTAACTCCAGTTCTGGAAGATCCGACATCCTCACACAGACATACATGCAGTCAAAATATCAATGCACATAAAATCAATCAGTCAATAATCTTGTCAGCATAATGAATATAGCTTTATTATAGTAAAGATATATGACAAAATTATCCCAAGTTGTAAAGTTCATAAATGACAATAATTTGAGAATAACATGCACATGAAATGCACTTAAATGTCCTAAATACGTGTATTTGCTCACAATTGCTTAACATATAATACTACACGGTACCAAGAACTGCACTTGAACGATACTCAGTACTGACCAAAACATATTTGCATCATTCATAATTGTCATCCACCCACAAAAAAAAAAGTAGCTAGCATTACCCTTCTCTTCAAATGTTAGGTTCATGTCTATTATGATTTTTCATTTACCTTTACACCTCATCCTCACAGTGCCCGCCCTGGTTGCTCTCCATCTGCTGTCGACTCCACCCGTCTTCCCAGCGCTCTCTGCTTCCAAAGTCCTGTCTAGCTGTTGGCCGTTTAGCTTTTTTCTTAAACCAATCGGTGACATATCTTCATACAGTGTATTCCACAACAGATAAGGGCTTGAGTTACAGATGAAGCCTTTCCCAAGCCCCTGTCGTATATTTCCTACCAGTATGGACATTCTATTGCTGGCTAAGATTTGAGACACGAAAATCGGCTTTTTCAAGCGTTCTGCCTTAGCTTGATTTCTCATCAGTATAACCCTCCTGACACTGGTTGAGCTGAGCCATGAGAAGAATCTTTCCAACACTCCTTAAATTTATGAGGTTGTTCACCAGCGTGAACTCTCTCATGTTTAATAACATCTGACTGCCAACCGAAGGCTTTTGTACATTCATTACGCCCTTGGGCTGTTCGACGTTGTGAATTCTCTGATGTTTAATGAGATGTGACTGCTGAATAAAGGCTTTTCCACATTCGTTACACTCATAAGGCCTCTCACCAGTGTGGATCCTCTGATGCCGGGCAAGGTCTGAGGCAGAAGCAAATGCTTTCCAGCAGTCCTGACATTTATAGGGCTTCTCACCGGTATGTAGTCTCTGATGTCGCGTGAGCTCGGAGCTGTATCTAAAGGCCTTTGGGCATTCCTTACACTGAAAGCGTTTCTCCCTAATATGAATTGTTTTAAGTCCTGTATCACTTGAATGCCAACTGAAGTCCTCGTCATTCTCTTTGCAGTCATTGGTCGCCTTACCATTCTGAAACTGAGTAAGTTCTGAACCACCAAGAAAAGGCTCTGTACATTCTTTATCTTCCCAGAATTTCTCACCGGTATGGATCAAAGAACGCTGAGGATGTTCTAAACTGGTACTAAAGGCCTTGTCGCCTTCATTGAATTCGTGGGATTTCTTACTGTGATTTTTCTGATGTTGAGTTAGGTGTGCACCGCGAGTGAAGGCTTTTCCACACTCCTTACATACGTAAGGCTTTACACCAGTGTGAACTCTCTGATGTCGGCCAAGGTCTGATCTGCAAATAAATCCCTTCCCACATTCCTTACACTTATAGGGCTTTTCGCCAGTGTGGATCTTCTGATGGCGAGAGAGGTCTGAGGGACAACGGAAGGCCTTCTCACAGTCCTTGCATTTAAAAAGTTTCTCCCTGTTATGAATTTTCTTAAGACTGCTGACAATGGAACGCAGACTAAAAGCCTTACCACACTCTTTACATTCGTATATTTTCTTACCAGCATGAACTGTCTGACACTGAGTAAGCTCTGAATCTGGAAAAAATGTCTTCCCATTTTCTTTATCTTCAAAGAACTTCTCCCCAATGTAAATTAACTGTCGTTGAGTATGATCTAAGGCGAAACTAAAAGAGTTTTTACATTCTTTACATTTATGTAACTTATCACCAGTATGAATTTTCTTATGTTGACTTAACTGCGAGCCACATGTAAAAGCTTTCCCACACTCCTTGCAGATGTAAGGTTTTTCGCCGGTGTGGATTCTCTGGTGCTTAATGAGGTGTGACTGCTGAATAAAGGCCTTCCCACACTCACTACATTCATAGGGCTTCTCCCCAGTGTGAATTCTCTCGTGGCGGGTGAGGTCTGAGCCACAGCTGAAAGCCTTTCCGCATTCCCGACACTGATAGGGCTTTTCCCCGGTGTGAATCCTGTGATGTCGAGTGAGGTCTGAGCTGTAGTTAAAGTACTTTCCACATTCCTTACATTCGTAGGATTTCTCCCCAGTATGAGCGCGAACGTGGACACTGAGGAGTGAGTGGAATCTAAAGGCCTTCCCACACTCCTTACACTTAAAAGGCTTTTCCCCAGTGTGGATTCTCTTGTGACCAGTCAGACTAGAACGGAAACTAAAAGTCTTGCCACATTCCTCACACTGGAATGCTTTCTGGCCAGTATGAACTGCTCGACAGCGAGGAAGCTTAGAGCCGGGAGGCAAGGTCTTCCCACAGTCTTTATCTTCCTCAGATTGCTCACCAGCGTAAATTAAGTGAGGTTGAGTGGGGTCTGCAGAAAAACTAAAGGGTTTTTCAGACTTAAAGTCCCTTGCTTTCTCTTCTGCATCCGGTCTTGGACACCGATTAAAAGCCCTGAGCAATCTTTCATGGGTGAGTGTCATTTGCTTGAAGCATCCTTCCTGATTCTCCCTTGGTGTTGGAACCTGACCTGTGCCTTCCCAGTCAGCTCCAGGACACAACCCTTCAAGGCTGTGGTTTGTATCCGTTTCCATTACTTCCCAACGGGATAACTGTCTTGCACAGGTGCTATTTTTCGGTAGGACTTTGTTCGTCTGCCACGTGGGATCTATATCTGAAAGATAATAATGTAAATATATACTGTTTTACTATCCAAAAAGGAAAAAAATGCCCTCAAGAGAAAATGTTAAAATAAATCACATAGGAAGTGAATGTCTTCAAAAAACAAAGCATTAACAACAAAACCTCAAATGTGGACAATACTAAAAGGACAAAAAATAAATCTTAAAGAGCTAATTTTAAAAGGGTTGGGGGTTGCTTAGAACGGACTAAGATTTTTATAAAAACCAGGGACCAAGAGGCACAAATGGGACAATTAAGTAACAATGATGTAACACGGCACACTTTCCATTTCTTCCATCTCCATTTTAACGATTACAGACTGCCGCCCTTGTGGCTTTATTTTGTTTGTTTGTTTTTGTTTTACGAGACAAGGTTTCTCTGTATTGTTTTGGAGGCTGTTGGTCCAGCCTGGCCTCGGACTCACAGAGATCCTCCTGCCTCTGCCTCCCGAGTGCTGGGAGTAAAAGCGTGCGCCACCACCGCCGGCAGCCCAGACTTTTTTTACATATTACTACAACTTTTAACCACCAGCTTGACAGGTGCTCTTTTCATGTATGACCTACCATGCAAAAATTTCTGAATATGTTCCTATCACAGAAAATACGAGGTTTATTTATATAGATACTGTTTGTTAACACTAGTAAGTCCAAGCTGAAATGAGAAAACCGGTAAATGTGGGTTTTAAAAAAAATGACCTAGCTGGCATTGGTGGCGCACGCCTTTACTCCCAGCACTCCAGAGGCGGAAGCAGGTGGATCTCTGTGAGTTCAAGGCCAGCCTGGTCTTCAGAGCGAGTTCCAGGACAGCCTCCAAAACAATACAGAGAAACCCTGTCTTGAAAAAACAAACACATAAATAAATAAATAGATAGATAGATAGATGAATGAATAAATAAATAAATAAATAAATAAATAAATAAAATGACCTAGTGAGTTCAGGAAACACACTCATAAGGAGAAACAGATAAAGTAAGGGAATTCAGGGTTGCATGTGGCGGCGTATAGAAGGAAGGAAATTGTTTAAGGTAGCTGAAATGAATGACACATCTGCAAACTCTTAGAAATTTACAAATACCTAAATGGAAAAAGGTAAGGAAATAGCGAGAGATGAGAAGGCATTTGACCTACGTCATTCATAAAATAATGGCCACTAGAGAGAAAGAATGGCACCTCACTTTTTGTCACATGGGGGACATTAACCAAGCAGTGTGCGGTAGAGGTGCCGCTGACCCCCTGAACAGCCAGACAACTGATGACGGCCCCAGGGACCGTCACTCACCTGGGCAGAATCTTCTGGTCTCACTACCCAAATCCATGAAGGCATCTTGTTCTTTTTCCAACACGGGAAACTCATGCGGTTGATAAATGCAAAGTCCTGTATGTGAGATAAAATACAGGAAGCAACCACATGGATAAGAATTCATTTTCATCTGGTGCCTTGGTAATGAGGGAGAGGGACAATGAATGACAAGAAGGACAAGAAGAAAGGATAAAGCGTTTTGGGAGGATGGTGGACATGGAGGTCCCCAATAATGACTACAGTCTGCAAAAACCACAGCCCGTCTTCCCAGAAGAAACACAGGTCAGAAACCCCCTTGACATTTGAAAAACAAGTCAATAACTGACAATAAGCACCAGGAATGTCTAGGGTCTAGGGTTAAACTGAGTCTTACCTACTGAGACAAGATGGCTGTAGTTCTCCAACATCACATCTCTGTATAAGAGTCTCTGTTCCAGGCTCAGACATTCCCATTCTTCTGGAGAGAAATCTATAGCCACATCTCTGAACGTCATCACCTGCCATAGGACAATCGACCCCAACGTCAGTGGTAAATTTTAAACAAATGATTTAGGTGGAAGATGGCAATGGACAGAGCAGCGAATGGGACACACCATGGGCACCCATATTGGGCACCCATACCACCCATAGCTCCAGGAGACCCAGCACCCCATTTTATGGACCATCCATTTTGTTGCTTGTTCTTCAAGTGTAGTGTGCTTTTAGTTGAATTTCCCACTGGTTTAAGTTTAAAGAATTCATCAAACCCTGGTTTTTGTTGTTGTCTGTTTTTTCTGAGCAGAATGTGTTGCTCCCTGTAAGCAACTGCCAATCAGATAGCATCTTGCTGATCTCGAGGTCTCTGGACACTCAGTGCTTCTGTCACAACCTCTAAATGCCCTGGAAACCACCACACTGAGACAGGCCCCAACCAGGCGTGAGTCTCATCCTGACCGCAGTGTTCCAGTCCGTACACGGGGTGCGTGCAAACCTTCCGTCGTCTCCTTCCACCATCTTTCCGCCTAAGGGTTTGAGGTGACGCTCTAGGATGTTCTCTCTAGACATTTAGACTGGATGTGCTTTCAGGTCTAAAACACAAGGGCTACAGAGACTATCAGTTGAGGGGAGAGTGCCATGCATGGCGAGCCCTAGTCTGCTCCATTGCGTCACTGACCACCTGGAATTGACTTGGGTAAGTAGTTTCAGAACAAGTGGCAAAAACATTACTATGGCCAGGCGGTGGTGGTGCACGCCTTTAATCCCAGCACTCGGGAGGCAGAGGCAGGCGGATCTCGGTGAGTTTGAGACCAGCCTGGTCTACAAGAGCTAGTTCCAGGACAGTCTCCAAAGCCACAGAGAAACCCTGCCTCAAAAAACCAAAAAAAAAAACAAAAAAAAAACATTACTATGAATATGAACTCACATAGGCCATGATTTAAAACTCCTGAATGTGACCAGTCCTCTTCTTGGTTCCTATCTCTTTGAAGCCAACTCCTGGGAAAACAAGAACAGCAAAGAGAGACGTGAGATGCCTGGCTTTCCAGAGACCTTTTAAATGGTTGAGGGAAAATGCCATTTTCTTCCCTGGAGGAAGTCAGAGGGAGTGCGATGGAATGTTGGCCCCAAGAATCAAGAGAACCCCAGCTAAAACAGGATGGAGTTATAATTGAATTAGTTATGTCGAAAATCATTCCACAGCCAGGGTGTGGTGGTATACACCTTTGATTGTAGCACTTGAGTGTTGTGGACTCCTACTTTAAGATGTGTTACATTTGTGTGTGCTGTGGAACATGTGTCTTAATGATGCAAAGATGTGTTGCATTCTTTTATGTTGCATTCGTTTAACTCTGTGAAGCTGTGTTACTTTGCCTGCCTAAAACACCTGAATAGTCTAACAACGAGCTGAACGGCCAATAGCTGGGCAGAGAAAGGATAGGTGGGGCCTTAGACAGAGAGAATAAATAGGAGAAATCTATGAAAGTGGATCGAGGAGAGAGAAAAGGAGGAGAGAGGACATTGGGAGCTGGCACCCAGCCGCACAGCCAGATACGGAGTCAGAAATAAAGGAAAGTATACAGAAACAGAGAAAGATAAAAGTCCTGAGGCAAAAGGTAGTCGGGATAATTTAGGTTAAGAAAAGTTGACAACAAACAAGCCAAGCTAAGGTCAGGCATGTATAAGTAGGAGTAAGTCTCCGTGTGTATTTACTTGGGAGGTGGGTGGCAGACTCCTCCAAAAGGGTAAAAAGAACAGAGAACAAGGAAAGAGTAGATGATGATGATGGTGGTGGTGGTGGTAATAATAATAATACAATACTTGAGAGGTACAGGCAGGCAGATTTCTGAGTTTGGGGGGAAGCCTGGTCTACAGAGGGAGTTCCAGTACAGTCAGGGCTACATGGAGAAACCCTGTCTTGGAAAACAAACAAAATATCCCATAGATCAGGATATGAAACAAGATTATTCTAACTGAATCGAAATGTCTCCAAAAACTCTACAAAGCTGGAGTTAGAAATCTTCAAAGGAAATGGAACTCTTCCCTTCCGGAAGCCTGTGAGAGCTACCCAACTCCTGTACGCCCAGGAGCCTACCAGAGCTACCCGGACTCCTATATGCCCAGGACAGCACCTCCTACTTTCCAAGTCTAACAAATGTACAGAGTCATTTCCATCTGAGCATCTAAGAAGGGTCACATGATGGCACACAGGCACCCACAGTTCCTGGGGACCCAATGCTCTCTTCTGACCTCACAGGGGAACCAGGCGTATACATACACAGGCAAAATGCTCACACACAGAAAGTTATAAAAGATTTTAAAAAACCACGAAGACTTGTGCTATACATTCGCAGGCAAAATGCTCACACACAGAAAGTTATAAAAGATTTTAAAAACCACGAAGACTTGTGCTAAAAAAGCCAACTGCCTGTAACTGAAAGGAAATTCAAGTTTTAATTAGACATATCCATCCTGAAAAAAAAAAGTATGGGTTTTTAACATATTTGTGGAAAAGGAAATGAGATTTGATGACCATATATCTAGCCAATCTATCATTTATTTTTTATTAATTAATTAACTTAGTTTGGATTTTTGAGACAGAGTCTCATTATGTCGCCCTGGCTGGCCTGGATCTTATTAAACAGATCAGGGTAGCCTCAAACTCACGGAGCTTTGCCTGTTTCTGCCTCCAGAATGCTGGGATCCAAGACTTGGGCCACCACACTCAGCTCAAAGAGTAATCAGGAATAGACATAGACCCGTAATCCCAAACTCAGAGGGTTGAAGCAATAAGGTCGCTGTGAGTTCAAGGCTAGCCTGGGCTACATAGGAAGATCCAGTCCTTTTTTTCTTTTTTTTTTTTTGATTATACAATTTTTTGTTTAATTAGAAACAGTCTTGTTTTACATGTCAATCCCAGTTCCCTCTGCCTCCCCTCCTCCCCTGCCCCCCACTGACTCCCTATCTCATCCCCTTTCTGCTTCCCAGGGAGGGTGAGGCCTTCCATGGGGATGGAAGATCCAGTCTTAAAGGGAAAAGAAAAAGCAAGCTATGGCACATTCACAAAAATCCTTTCTGAAAAAAAAAAAACACTAGAGGTCACACAGAAACAGAAAAAAAATGGCAAAATAACTGTGACAGACTACATACGTTTAAATGTGAATCTAAATAAAAAGCAAGGTGGAAAATGGCCAACACTGTGTGCTAGCCTCCTTTACTCAGCAGAGTGGACTTCATGAGTAAGACATCGTGGCGCGGGAAATGAAAATCAGTGTGTGGAGTGCCTGCCCAGAATGCACCACACTCTCAGCACCTCGCAGACTAGCGCCACCTCTCAGTAACACCGACCTAGAAAAGCTGGCAGTGTTTGTTCCACTTCAACTACCTCCTAACACTGAAATTGCTTTTCCTCGTTTGCTGCTAAGCAAGGCAGGGTAAACTGGGAATTTTCCCACCCGGTCAGCCAACCACTGATTGGTTCTTCCTGCAAAAGTAAGCATTCCTCATTAGGATGTGGACACCCACAAGAGGTCAGGCCAGCAATCTTGATGCTGTATGACCATAAACTGAGGATGCCTGAAAAGGGGTCTCACAGTTCCTTCATGAACCATGACCCAAAGCACTTTCCTAAAGGTGTCTAAATAGGTTCCCAGAGAGACTCATCATACTTCCCCGCTTCAAGAAAAAAGCAGTGTGCCCAGCATCTTCCTCCATCTTCTACAATTAATAAGGGTTTCTCTGTCTTAGAAAATGGCACTCTGACTGCGATTTTATATAAGGTTTTACTTTTTAAAAAATGTTTATGTATATCCGGTGGGAGGTATGTGAGCTTGAGCGCTGGTACCCGGAAGTCCAGCCGGCATCTTGGAGCCTCTGAACCTGAAGGAGGGTGTGAGCCTCCTATATGTGTGCTAGGAACAGAACTTAAAAGTCCTCTGCACGAGCAGAAAATGCTCTCTTAACCGCTGAACCATTTCTCCAGCTCTCATTTTAAAAAGATGTACTTGCGTGTGCGCATGTGCGAGTGTGGTGAGTATCCATGAGCGCAGGTGCCTGGGCAGGCAGGTCGGTGCAGTGGGAGTGGCTGACCTCAGGGCTAACAACCAAACTCAGATCTCTTTAACACCTGAGTCTCTCCTATCCCTTTCTCTGCTCTTCTAGGTCCTAGTTGTGTTTCTGGCGTTTCACGCACCACGATGTGAACACACCTCCTTCAGTTTCACCCTCACTTTTAGAAATCACAATGTCAAGCCGGGCGTTGGTGGCGCACGCCTTTAATCCCAGCACTCGGGAGGCAGAGGCAGGCGGATCTCTGTAAGTTCGAGACCAACCTGGACTACCAAGCGAATTCCAGGACAGCCTCCAAAGCCACAGAGACCCCTGTCTCGAAAACCAAAAAAAAATCAAAGAAATCACAATGTCTATTATGAAACACAATGTTCATTCTTGGGGTTGCCGGGGGAGGGGGTGTTCTATCATGGTTACACACACTGTCAGGTATTATTCGCTCTCTCTCTCGCTCTCGCTCTCGCTCTCTCGCTCGCTCGCTCACGCCTACCACATTAACCACGGATATGCACCACTCCAGTCCCCAAACTCCCATACTAACCCCAACTCCGCCAGCCCGCAACACCACCACAACCTCTTCAGAACTTCGCGCTCAGTAGGGAAGTCCCTCACCCCAGGAACTCGGTTTCCATGGCCACTGTGATTCCCGGTCCTGAACCGACACCCGCTAAGCACCACACACCCCGGACTTTCCTTAAGATTCAGCCCTGAAGCCAACTGGGTCGGCACTCGCGGAAGTTGCTGGTTCGCAGTGCACTCTGGGAAATGTAGTCCGACTCTGCGTGGTCTGCAACAAAAGACTAGACCACCACTATCAATTTACAGGTCCCGGCTTTAAACCCGGGCGCTTCCATCGGTGGAGATTATTCCTCACACGACGCTAACAACCGCTCACGGGGGCTTCGGGAAGGCCAGGCTACGCTGAGATGGCCAATATCGAGACGTGCAGAACGGCGATGCAATGCCCCTTTTGCCATCTTCGGGCCCGCAACATCCGCGGGTGTGACGGCTCCTGGGAACTGTAGTCCACTGCCTGGGAGGCCGTCGAAGCCGGCCTCAGAAAGAGGGCCAATAAATTCCAGGCACTCACAGACAGACACACGGGTTGCGGCCACAAGGTCTTGTAAAACAGCATCATGGCAATGGCGAGTGTGAGCCGTCTCTACTCCAGCCTTCAGCTGGCTGAATCCCTGCCCCTCGTCACACTCGCACGTGGCTGTGGCTGGGCTGCCCCGGGTCTTCGGCGACGCGTTACTGTGCGGCTTACTTTAGGTGTGCCCGACGTTGCTCTCCGGACTAAAGGCAGTCGCCACTGTGGGGAGGACGTGGTGGTTCACACTCCTCCGTCTTTGGGAGGGAAGGGGATTGCCTCCTCAAGGGTGACCAGGGCTAGACAGCAAGACAGCCTGTCTCAGCAAGCCCTTGTGAGGACCTGGAGTTCAGGTCAGCCTTATAGCGGCCAGCCTCAGAAGCCAAACAGCAAGGACAAGTCTCGCCTGCGTCTGTCTCCTCAAGAACGCTCGAGAGGGAACACGTCTGCTTGGAGGATTCTGAGCGCAACCCCCGCCCCCGAAAAGCACCCCCAAGGGCCAAACGCTGTGTTTAACAAGTCATAACGCATGTGCACAGTTATCTTAGGGAAAAGTAAAAATGCTAACTAGTTGTTATCAGTTGCACCCTCTGCTCCCGGAATGTACAGGAAGACACACACTTACTTAAATCGTAATTTGGAGAGAAAATGGGATTTAGGAGGCTTCAGATTTCTCCATGATCTTAGCCAGTCACCAAGACACACAGCATGCTCCTCTCCCACAGCGGCGCAGCTCGACCCCAATCCCCGGTCACGCACATTTCCCCTACCTCGCAGTTTCTCTGTCGTTCAGCTCCCCCCGGATCCAGCCGCACACTTCATCTCCCCGTGATCTCTCTCACACACACTCAGGCTTGCCATTGCGGACTCTGCCCACCTACAGGACGAGGCTGGCTTCCTCTTGGTCAAACTGAGATTTGGTTTCGGAACCCGGGATGCCACATTCGCTTTCCCCCGGCCCCAACTTCCAGCAGGAAGCCGAATTCGGAACAGCCTCCCTGGTCAGATTTCCGCCTGGGGATTGGATGACTCAGTCCGTGCTAGCCGCGCCCATCCGGTCGCTGGCACGGTCTCGGACTACATTTCCCAGAAGACCTCGTGGTCCCTGAAAACTCTCAGTGCCGAGATAGGGCTGGATCCAAGAAAGATCAAACCTGCAAGCACAGTTTCATTAAAGTGGGTAAAGGAGCTTACTGCCAAGCCTGATGACCTAAGTTCGATCCCTAGGGACTCATGGTGGAAGGCGAGAATCGACTTCTGCAAGTTGTCCGCTGAACGTCGCATGTGCGCCCACGTGCACACGCAAAAAAATAAACAATTATTGTTTGTTTGTTTTTAAAAGGAGTATTGCCACAAGCTTGGCCCAGTGGGCCACGTCTTTAATTCCCGCAGTCGGGAAGCGGAGGCAGGAGGAGTGCTGTCTGGGCTGTCTCTAACAAACAAATATTGCCAATAGTCAACTGAGGAACTACAACCAACCATTAGGATGAGAAGCTTTGTGGTTGGTAAAGCACTGGACGAGCGTTAAGTGTTAGTTAGAGGGGTTCTTACCAAGGACTCCACTAACCTCGGGCTGAAGACCGAGAGGAGGTCTAATGGGAATGAGCGTTCAGGGGATCCTCATCAAAGTCTGGTCTAGGGACCCCTTGTCGACTGGGATTTCCTCACGACTCCGATGAACAACCGAACAATTTGTGCCCGTTGTCCAAGCAACATCTGTGACCCCAGACTTCTGCCCCCTGAGGCTTCCTGGACGCCTTCACCCGCCCACCCCCCTCCCCGCGCCCTTGTACCTCCCTCTCCTGAGAACTTCTTGAGGAGTGGAAGGGATACCCCTGCTAGGTTTGGGGAGAATTTGATAAGCCTCTTTAAGGATAACGAGGCCCCTTGGTGCCAAGTGTCTGGAAGGTCCAGACTGTGTGGAGCATGGAGGGAAACAAGCGGATTCGGGGAGATCATGGAACGTTGTAGGATTGTTATCGTGTGTCTGGGTGCCGGTGGAAGGACTGTGGAGGCGTCAAGGATTGCTTGATTGGTGATTATGATCACATCCTTTGTGTGCGAGTGGAGTCTGAATGGTCATGTCTTGCCTTCTATCAGTCCGAGGCCCCCCCCCCCCCCGAGTGTGCATTCCCTGAATTTGTGAGCATTTGGCAAACTTTAGGAGAGTGTAAGGTGCCCCCACTGAGACATATGACTATTTACCGGTGTGCCTTGTCTATTTTTGGTGGACTGTGGGGGCAGGGGTCTCCCTGTGATCTCTGCTGTTGTGATTGTGCCTAGGGCATGGCATGTGAGAAGGCTCGCGTGGGAGGTGGATTGTTTTTTCGTTTGAGGCAGATGTGGCTTCTGTAGCCTGGTGGTGTGAGTGTGGATGATTGGAGAATCAGGTAAATGGCATCTCTGTGCCTGTGTCTTGAGCCACAGGAGACTTGGGACAGATTCTGTCCTGAACTAGTCGCCCTACCTTAGTCTGATTCTTGGATTTATACGAAGCCTCTAGACTTCTCTGATTTCTTTTTGTATGTGATGGGTGTTATGGATGCTAAGCCAAAATGATCTCTAAAATGCTGGACCCACAAGAGCTTGGTGCGTCCTGACTCACTTTTTATTCCCCAGCTCTGTCCTGTTTAGAGAAACACCTCCAGAGAGGGATAAAGAATGGCAACTCAAGGTAGCTTGTGATTTCCCGATACACATTTACCTTTGTCAAGACATGACTCGTTTTCCTTCTGTTGAAAATTCTGACCCATCAGATAACCAAATTCCCTGTAGCTTACCACTTGAGAAACTGGAGGCTCCAAACTCTAGCCCATAATCACATTCTCAATTTCCCATTATTAATTTGCCAGGTGTTCTTTTCCTTTTTTGCAATTTATTTATTCTTATCCTGTGTGTATGAATGTTTTGTGTTTATCTAATTATCCTTATTAATAAAATCTCGGGAGTCTGATATCAGAGTAAGAACCTGGACGATCAGAGAAGCATTGGAGAAGACACCAGTGGTCTCCTCTCCCTCTCATCCTCCATCCAAAAGGGCCAAGACTCTCTCCAAGTCCTGCCCTACAATTTCCTGTGTCTCTCTGGCTGTGCTCCATCCTCCAAAACCTCTATGGTGAAATTTGGTGAGCTAGTGGCTAGCTCTGCCCTCCAATTCAAAGCAAACTTTATTGGCAGTCTCAGGATCATCAGAATGTGATCAAATTATCACACAATAGAGTATTCTGCCTGAATGTATATATGTGTACTGTGTGTGTGCCTAGTGTTCTCAGAGGCCAAAGGTGGATGCCTGATCCCTGGGAACTTCAGTTACAAATGGTTGTGAGCCACCATGTGGGTGCTGGGAACTGAACCCAGGTCCTCTGCAAGAGCAGCAGGTGCTCTTAGCCACTGAGCCTTCTCTCCAGGTCTGGATCTTCTTCTTCTCCTATTTCTCCTCCTATTCCACCTCCATCTTCAGTTTTTTGAGACAGAGTTTGTCTGTGTAGCTCTGGCTGCCCTGGAACTCACTCTGTAGACCAGGCTGGCCTTGAACTCAGAGATCTGCCTACCTCTGCCTCCCCAGTACTGGGACTAATGGTATGCACCACCAACACCACCTGGCTCTGGATCTTCTTTTTATGTTGTGGTTTTGTTTTGTGTAGGCCAGGTATGGTAGAGGGAAGGTAATGAAGAACTAGAACAATCTTCCCTTGGTTTAAAAACACACTTGAAACAAGAACAAAAACAAAGCTCATTGTGTAGCTCAGGCTGGTCTAGGTTCACTATGTAACCAAGGATGACCTTGAACCTCCGATCCGACTGCCTCCACTTCTCAAATGCTAGGGCTAAGGGCTGTGGTACCACGCTGGGTTTGCAGTACTGGGGAATATATCCAGAGCTACTTTCATTCAAGGAAACAAATATTCTACCAAAACAATCTACACTCTTAGTCCCTCCCAAAGCCAAATTCCATTACAGTCCTAAAAATTGTAGTGCATCTTTTTCTGTCCCGCCTGCCAGCGCCCAAATCACAACAAGGAGACTTAGCGTTAGTTATGATAGCTCGGCTAGATTAGGCTTGTTTCTAATTAGCTCTTATGCCTTAAGTTTACCAATTCTTTAAATTAATCTATGTGCTGCCACATGGCTCGTGGTTGTCACCTCTCCTTCTGCATGTCTTGCTTGTTCTCTTGTTGTCTCTACCTTCTTCTTCCCAGCGTTCTCTCTACCCCGAAAATCCTGCCTAACTACTGGCCGTTTAACTTTTTATCAAACCAGTCACAACAATGTATCTTCACACAATACAAAGCTTTATTCCACAACAGGAAATGCCACGCACGCTGACAGAGAGCCAGGAGTTAACATATCAAGCCTCCTGACTACAGATGGGATTTACCAGCCAACTCACCCTCTTGCTGCCACAGCCACCAGCAACTCTAGCAGCCACGCCATTCCTTCATGCCACCACCCCAGCCTAGTTCCTGGGTTCTGTACAGAACGACGCTGGTTTGTGCCAGCATTGGTGAGTTAGCTTCTTTTTCCAGTTACCAGAATCACCTTTGTGGTTGTCTTAGTGTTCTGTTGCTATGAAGAGACGCGGTGAGCAACAGTAACTCTTATAAAGAAAAGCATTTAATTGGGGCTTGCTTACAGTTTCAGAAGTTTAGCCCATTGTCATCATGGTGGAGAGCATAAAGGTAAGCAGGCAGACATGGTAGCTGAGAGTTCTCCATCCAGAACTGCAGGCAGCAGGAAGAAGAGAGACACTGGGCCTGGCTTGAGTTTTTGAAATGTCAAAGCCTACCCCCCAGTGACATATTTCCTCCACTTGTTGTTTCAAGTGTGTTTTTAAGTAAGGGCCACACTTACTCCAACAGGGCCACAGCTCCTAATCCATCTCAGTAGTGCCACTTCCTGATGAGCCTATGGGGCTATTCTTATTCAAATTACAACACTGTGCAAGAGTGGCACACACCTTTAATCCCAGCACCCGGGAGGCAGAGGCAAGTGGATCTCTATGAGTTTGAGGCCAGTCTACAGTTTGAGGCCCAATCAGGGATACATAGAGGGGACCCCCCCCACTGAAAAACAAAGAAGAAAAGAAAAACAACTCTAGGATACATTTAAAATAACTTTTTGTTTGTTTTTGGTTTTTCGAGACAGAGTTTCTCTGTGGCTTTGGAGGCTGTCCTGGAACTCGCTTGGTAGTCCAGGCTGGTCTCGAATTTACAGAGATCCCCCTGTCTCTGCCTCCCGAGTGCTGGGATTAAAGGCGTGCACCACCAATGCCCAGCTAAAATAACTTTTTAAAATGATGAAACTCTTGGGTCCTGAGAGATGGCTCAGCAGTTACTGTAAGGCCCAGGGCAGTTTGGTACACACTTGCCATGGCAGACTCAATAGACACCAACCAGGGAGTAGGCCTGAGTTTCAGTTTACCCTAAGGCAACACCTGATTCCAGAAAAGACCACAAACTGGGACCAAAAAGACACCACCCAGGAACAGACCAGTCAACATCCAAGGGGCCAGTACCTAATGCTCCATAGGAAATACCTATGTTCCAACCATTGTAGATAGGAACACCAGATGTCCCTTAGCCAAGAACACACTCACTCTCTTTCACAAAGACACCCCTAGACAAATGCCAGCCTATAAGGGGTCTGAACCTTAGAAATTCCTTACCCAACCTCTGCTATGATAAAAAACCCCACCCCAAGTGAACTCAAGGCTCCCTAATGATGCCAAGACATTTGACACACAGAGGGTCCAAGTTCGAACTTGAATAAAGGCTCTTTACTTTTACATACAGGATTCAGTCTCCTTGTTGGTTTTTTGGTGGACTCTGCAATCTGGGAATAACATTTGGGGGCTCGTCTGGGATCCTCCCAAGCACACCAGGACTACCACCCATCCATAGAACCTGCAGCCTCAGCTGGCCAATAAGTTTTCTGTTTCATTTCATGTCATTCTGTTTAGATAAACTTCTGTGAGTGGGTCTAGAATCTGTAC